GTGTGTGTGTGTGTGTGTGTGTGTGTGTGTGGTTACCCCGTACCAGTTATCATCCCAAGGACCAATTTTCGACACAAAGAAAAGCAAAAATGTGACAATTTTAAGTCTGGGATATAGGCCAAGGGACGTACTGTTTTAGAGTGCCAAACAGGAATACATTTCATAAGCTTCAGACACATTCTAAACAATTACCAAAGTGCAGTATGCGTAGTTGCTATTTCTCAAAATGTCCATAGTTTTTATACATCATTTTGGGGGTAGTTGTATGCCTTAAAGTCGAGATGAAATGCAAAATGCCCTTTTAACCCTTAGATCACATCCCCAGGGATATTGTGCACCTATTTATCAATATATGCATAACAGGATAACAGGAAATGCGGGAGAGAGATGCATGGGTAACAAAGGTCCTCGGTTGGATTCAAACTGGCGACATTGCAGTTCATGGTCAATATCTTAACCCCTAGGACACCAGCAACCCAAAATCCCCAAATGTTGTTAAGTGACTCTTTGTAGCCCCTTTGACCATTTTTGTAATGTCTCAAAAAGGACAGCGAGGCTGACAGCAATGTACATCTTCTTTTTTGTTGTGAATCAATTGAGAAACAGTTTTTAATGGGTAGGGTTTTTGGCAATGTTCCCAGAACAGCTGCCAAGTTGTTTAAAAATCAAGAGCAAAGACCGATGACCGCACAGCAAGTGGTCCATTCATCCAATTAGGGTGAGGAGCAGCTAATAGATGTCTGAACCAAGGACAAAATTGTTGATCATCTATTGTTCAGCCTTCTTGAAAAGATATTTGCCGAACGCAAATGTCAGCTGAGCCTTGCAATACACAGTGAAAGTTATACAGCAGAGTAATTCTCATTGTGCTTCAAATATAACATATATCAGTCTATACATATATCAACTTGTGTATGTTGTATTGGTGTGCACAACACACACAAAGACACGCTTACACACGTATGATATGTGTTTCTTCCCACTGCTTACACAATGGTATAGCTTGCTTTATGTTTCTTTTATCCCTGTGCCTTGATATATGGAGTGTGAGTGAACTGAGGGGATTTGGCAATGCAAGACATGATAAAGCAAACCAAAGACTAGCCCCATAATCCCCAGTCATTTCTACAATTGTGTTATCCAGTTGATCCTCCATTAAGGAGGATCAAGTGTTCACTCTGGATGAGGTGGGAAGCTGCAGAAATGTGAGATAGTTAGTTAGTGGTTTTCAGAAGGATTATTCTCCCACACAATTGTGATGGTATTGCTAAAATGTAAACAGGAGAAGATCAGGAGCAATACTATGGTATGTGAAGTTATAGAGCAGCAGAAATGTCTCTACAAGGATGCAACATCTTCTCTCATTCTAAGGGATTATTAACTCTTAACAAATTGGAAACACTTTCACATGTACATTATGTGTTTGGGGTATGTAAGTGGCCAATATTTCACATCAGAGTGTTTGGTCCATATCCCCTGTCTCATCCTCTTAAAGTTGTGTTAAAGCACTTGGCAGTTGGTAAAACATTGAAGGTTAAGTTATAGTCTCCAGTAGGGTGAAACGCTTTGAAATGAAATGAGGTGAGAGTGCAGAAATTCTTATAAACTTGGGCATTAATGTTCCATTAGTAGGTCCGCAGTCCTCAATTGTTTACAGAAGGAAACAGCTTTTTTTACATGCTTGTGGTATTCATGTGGGAGAGGGCCTTGTGCACATTCACACACACAGTGCATGTTAAGATGCAGAATGCAGTGCAATCTGTGAGTAATTTCTAACAGTAATCGTGAAGATCTCCAGCGAGAGGGCAGTCGGCCAGGCTTGGTCACCCAGGGAGTCTCTACTCAATGTGGGGGACACACGCATGCATGCAAGCCTCCAAGCTTTAGTGCCAATAGACTTGAACTGATTTTGACTTATCTTGATCACATGAGCTGCCACCGGTCTCCTTGTGCTCTAACTACAACTGGAGCAGAGCTAATTATCAATGGTTCTTACTTATCAATGATTAGGGATAAGGACCATTAATTAGATCTCAACTGGACATGTCACCAAGCATGGAACGACTTTGAGTATCCCCAGGAAATTCAAATGTGCAGCAGACTACAAATACACACAAAGCATTCATGTTGATTAATAAATAACAGGTGAATATAAGTCTTTAACTGGCTACTTGCAGTAAATAAAGTGGTACCTCATTGTCTCAGTCATGCAGGACACCTTCAGCATATACATTCGCACATCTCCTTCAGTGATTCCCCAATAGGTAACCATATATCTCCTAAATGTACCGTGAAAAGTGATGAATGACAGCAAACACAATAAAACTAAATGGCCAACATTCGAACTGTTGTCAGCATGCATCCAGCTTGTGTTGGGATGGGTGTTGTATGTTCAATCATTGCTAGGAAGGCAATGTGCTGCAATGTACACCGTACCAATCTTTGCTTACTTTTTCCAGCAACTTCCGATAAAACATTTCTTACACTTCAATAGTTTTGTAACTTTTAAACAAACACTGGTTCATCTCAGGTGTAGAAAAAATAATTGTCTGGTTAGCCACTCCACTGAGTGCTCTCTCTCCCTCCAATATACACATACAGTGACCCAAACAAAACACCAACAGATTACCAGACTAAACGGGAGGCAAACAATCAGTTTTAAACATCACAGCTATGTGGTCTAAACAATAAACCCACAGCCCAATTAAATGCCTTTTCCAAAAACATAAACACACACACACACACACACACACACACTTTAACACACACATTAGAAAATTCACCAAGCCATACCACCAAAGGTAAACACTAAACACGTAGGCCCATTAGACTGCAACTGTAGCAAAAACATACAACCAGAGAGGTAGAAAGTGGGCGCAGGATTTCAAGGTTTCCTCTCTGTCTCCATTTTGTTTATTTATATTTTGAGTTTGTAAGTGATTGTCAAGTGTCTGAGCGTGCACTTATTTATTTATTTTCAGCAGGAACACATAGCTTTGTGGCTTAGAGAGCAATACGCTCTACAGTGAGAGTGAAGTGACCTGAAAGTGGAAACAGAAGGGATGTACAGCAGCTGGGTGAAGAGAAGGATCGGGAAAGTGTGAGACACCAAGAGGTGTACAAAAATGCCATACCCATGGAAGAAGTGTAAACACAGCTGGTGAACATGGCATTCCACTGTGAACTGTTTAAGAAGCATGTTGTTTCTGCATCTGAAATGATTCCGTGCAGGCAATAACCAAAAGGGAATCCGCGAATGTTTCCATATGAAGAGCTGCAAATATCAGCATTACGTTCTCTTTAGCATATATCTTTTCTGCACAGGAGAGCAGAGGAAAGTACCGATTATGAGGGAGGGAGTGTCTGTCCAAGGAAATGGATGGCTCTTATCTTGCCATGACTTGTAAAAATGAATGTTATTCTAAGTAAAAAACCATGAGCAGAAATGGGTGTAACAGTAATTCAAACTCACAGATCACAGATGTTAGCTTGAGCTTCGTATTCTACAGAATAGACAGTGGATCTTTTTTTTCTTTTTTTTTACCCGAACACGGCCT